AAACTATTCAAACTATTCAAACCCCGGGGGTTTTTGAATAGTTTGAATAGTTTGAATAGTTTGAATAGTTTGAATAGTTTTGGGGGGTCCCTGGGAGGAGAGGAGGGGGGGGGGTTTGAATAGTTTGAATAGTTTGGGGGTCCGGCCTGGGGCCCTAAACTAAACTATTCAAACTATTCAAACCCTGGGGGAATTTGAATAGTTTGAATAGTTTGAATAGTTTGAATAGTTTGAATAGTTTGAATAGTTTTGTCCCTGGGAGGAGAGGAGGGGGGGGGGGGTTGAATAGTTTGAATAGTTTGGGGGTCCGAACTGGGGCCCTAAACTATTCAAACTATTCAAACCCTGGGGGGGGGGGGGGGGGTCCGGCCTGGGGCCCTAAACTATTCAAACTATTCAAACTATTCAAACTATTCAAACTATTCAAACTATTCAAACTATTCAAACTATTCAAACCCTGGGGGTTTGAATAGTTTGAATAGTTTGAATAGTTTGAATAGTTTGAATAGTTTGGAGGGTCCTATTCAAACCCTGGGGGTTTGAATAGTTTGAATAGTTTGAATAGTTTGAATAGTTTGACTAGTTTGAATAGTTTGAATAGTTTGAATAGTTTGAATAGTTTGAATAGTTTGAATAGTTTGAATAGTTTTGGGGGGTCCCTGGGAGGAGAGGAGGGGGGGGGGGGTTGAATAGTTTGAATAGTTTGGGGGTCCGAACTGGGGCCCTAAACTATCCAAACTATTCAAACTATTCAAACCCTGGGGGTTTGAATAGTTTGAATAGTTTGAATAGTTTGAATAGTTTGAATAGTTTGAATAGTTTGAATAGTTTGAATAGTTTGAATAGTTTTGGGGGGTCCCCGGGAGGAGAGGGGGGGGGGGTTTGAATAGTTTGGGGGTCCGGCCTGGGGCCCTAAACTATTCAAACTATTCAAGCTATTCAAGCTATTCAAGCCCGGGGGTTTGAATAGTTTGAATAGTTTGAATAGTTTGAATAGTTTGAATAGTTTGAATAGTTTGAACAGTTTGAATAGTTTGAATAGTTTGAATATTTTGAATAGTTTGAATAGTTTTGGGGGGTCCCTGGGAGGAGAAGGGGGGGAGGTTAGAATAGTTTGAATAGTTTGAATAGTTTAGGGGGGTCCCTGGGAGGAGAGGGGAGGGGTTTGAACAGTTTGAATTTGAATAGTTTGGGGGCCCGGCCTGGGGCCCCAAACTATTCAAACTATTCAATCTATTCAAACTATTCAAACTACTGAAACCCCCGGTTGGCCTCAATGGGGAGAAATTAGAAAAAAAAACCAGATGCGCGACGCCCGGTGTCACAGGGTAAGTATTGGTGATTTCTGGGAATTTTACGCCTTCAAAGTCCCCATCCAATGGCCTGATGCGCGACGCCCGGTGTTGCAGGGTGGATATTTTCGTAGATATTTTCGCGACGCCCGGTGTTACAGGGTATGTATCTGTGATCTCTTGGTATTTTGCGCCTTCAAAGTCCCTATCCAATGGCCTAATGCGCGACGCCCGCTGTGACAGGGCAGATATTTTCGCGACGCCTGGTGTAACAGGGTAGATATTTTCGCGACGCCCGGTGTGACAGGGTAGATATTTTCGCGACGCCCGGTGTTACAGGGTGGATATGTTTGCGGATATTTTCGCGACATTGGCGCGTTTGGAGGATGACAATTTTTAGTGATTGTTGATGATTTATTGCTTTCACAAACCCTCAATCTACGGCCAAAACATAAGGATTTTGGCTAGTTTTGGCGGCCTTGGAAACCACCCAAATTCCAATTTTTAGTGATTTTTGACCATTTTTTGCTTTCACAAACCCTCAATCTAGAGCCACAACATAGGGATTTAGGCTAGGCGGCCCTGGAAACCACCCATATGGCAATTTTTAGTGATTTTTGACAATTTTTTGCTTTCACAAACCCTAAACCTAAGGCCAAAACATAGGGATTTTGGCTCATTTGGCGGCCTTGAAAACCGCCCAAATGGAAATTTTTTTGTGCTTTTTGACCATTTTTGGCTTTCACAAACCCTCAAGCCAGGGCCAAAACATAGGATTTCGGCTAGTTTGGCGGCCTGGGAAACCACCCAAATGGTATTTTTTTGTGATTTTGTGCAATTTTTGGCCTTCACAAACCCTCAATCTAGAGCCAAAACATATGAATTTTGGCTAAATTTGGCGACTTTGGAAACCACCGAAATGGCAATTTTTAGTGATTTTTGACCATTTTGGCGTTCACAAATCCTCAACCTAAGGCCAAAACATAGGGATTTGGGCTCATTTGGCAGCCTTGAAAACTCTCCAAATTGCAATGTTAGTGATTTTTTGCAATTCTTGGCTTTCACAAACCCTAATCTAGCACCAAAACATAGGGATTTTGGCTAGTTTGGCGGCCTTGGAAACCACCCAAATGGCATTTTTTTGTGATTTTGGGCAATTACCCCCCCAACCCTTTTCGAGGGGTTGAAAAACAAGCTGAAAAAGCAGGTGTTTTCAGCAAAAATTCAGCCAAAAGCAAAACAACGTACAAAACTCCGGACGCGAACCCTATACAATTTCTATGTAGATATTTTCGCGACGCCGGTGTTACAGGGTAAGTGTTGGTGATTTCTGGGAATTGTGTGCCTTCAAAGTCCCCATCCAATGGCCTGGTGCGCGACGCCCGGTGTGACAGGGTGGATATTTTCGTAGATATTTTCGCGATGCCCAGTGTTACAGGGTAGATATTTTCGCGACGCCCGGTGTCTGGGTATTTTGCGTCTTCAAAGTCCCCATCCAATGGTCTGATGCGCGACGCCCGGTGTTACAGGGTGGATATGTTTGCGGATATTTTCGCGACATTGGCGAGTTTGGAGGCTGTGGAAACCACAAATGACAATTTTTAGTGATTTTTGATCATTTTTTGCTTTCACAAACCCTCAATCTACGACCAAAACATGGGGATTTTGGCTAGTTTGGCAGCCCTGGAAACCACCCAAATGACATTTTTTAGTGATTTTTGATAATTCTTGGCCTTCACAAACCCTCAACCTAGGGCCAAAACATAGGGGTTTTTGCTAGTTTGGCGGCCTTGGAAACCACCCAAATGGCAATTTTTAGTGATTTTTGACAATTTTTTGCTTTCACAAACCCTAAACCTAAGGCCAAAACATAGGGATTTTGGCTCATTTGGCGGCCTTGAAAACCGCCCAAATGGCATTTTTTTGTGTTTTTTTTGACCATATTTTTTGCTTTCACAAACCCTCAAGCCAGGGCCAAAACATAGGGATGTTGGCTAGTTTTGCGGCCTTGGAAACCACCCAAATTCCAATTTTTTGTGATTTTTGACCATTTTTTGCTTTCACAAACCCTCAATCTACGGCCACAACATAGGGATTTTGGCTAGTTTGGCGGCCCTGGAAACCACCCAAATGGCATTTTTTTTGTGATTTTTGATCATTTTTGGCCTTCACAAAGCCTCAATCTAGGGCCAAAACATAGGTTCGCGACGCCCTATGAAAAATTGATGATGTTTGTATTCCTCTCTTACCACGCATGTGTAAAACGTTCCCATATAGAGACATAGTTAATAGCGGCGGCGATAAAGACAAGAAAGTTCTATTACTGTTAATAATTGCAAACGCTTGCGCGCGCCGCCTCGGCAGCTGGTCCGGCCTGCAGCGGCGTGCAGCGTCTGTTCCAGGGCTCTCCCAGGAAGGTTCTGGTGCCAAGAAAGTGTCCCAGGGAGGTTTTAGAGGGTTGCAGCGCCTCCAAGTGGTTTTGGCAGGTCCCACAGGGCGGGAGGAGGGGGGGGGGAGTCAGAGATTTCGGGAAGGAGGGAAGGAAACCAGGTCATGGTCTGCTTGCTCTAGCTCTAGACGCAAAATGGGTGGAAGCCGAGGCGAACATATCATGAAGGTTCCTGTCTCACATATGGGCAGCCTTAGTCTCTCTTTTGTTTTTCTTGCTGGGTACCAGAAGTAGCTCTGGTGCAGTTCAGCTGCAATGCTGTAAATTTCTAACTCGTTACAGACTGCGAGGTACATATTTCAGACATCCCAGCCCGGGTAGTGGGGCAAGTATCTGGGCTGCTAAGTTCTTGCGTTGCACACGCTGGCCCTTTGAAAACTTGCAACGTGTGGAAGCTATGTATGGGTGAAATATAGGACTGACATCGCCTCTGCTTGCTGTGTTTGACACACTCTTCCTTTTGGCGACCCCCTTCCAAAGTGCATGGTGTTTGCCCCACCCTCAGAAGCAGGAGTGCCATCAGACGTTGTGGGTTCCCTGAGTAGGCACGTACTTCTGAAACTTTCTCATTGCACGTGCTGTGCTCCACCTGTTCCCTTGTCTTGTTTTGCCATCGCAGGCATTTGTTGCCCAAGTTTTTGTCCACCTTTACCTCTTTCTTGTGCGTGTCTCTTTCGATGTCGGACTCGTCCATGGAGTTCAGTCGTTGGGAGCGCCGATGGAGGCGCATGCAGCAGTGGCAGGACCGCCGTGATGCCGACTCTGCGTGGAATGCCTCTGGCTCCTCAGACTCTTCCTGGCGTACCTCGGGCTCCTCAGACTCTTCCTGGCACGCTGACTCTTCTTGGAATGCCACTGGGTGGAACAGTTCGGAGCGTGTGAATCGTTGGAACCGCCGCCGCTCCATGCCAGACCCGTCTTCATGGTCCTCGACTTTGCCTCGCTCCATACCAGACCCGTCTTCATCCAACTGCCTGGATAATCTCTTGAAGTGAAATCCTGGAAAGACACGTCAAAGACCTAAGATCCAGCCCAGACGCTGCCTCAGCGTTGTCGAGAGTAATGGCCAAGTGATGTGATGGGCAATTTGTTGTTAACACCAACTGATTTACAAGTACAGCTAGGTGAGTTCGACGCTACCCAGGCAAATCCGGCAAGAACACAAGCTTGACTGACAAAGTGTTCTTTTCCATCTCTCTCATTACTCTGTGCTGGGATTCGCGCGACCCGCGTCGAACGCAGGCGTGACGAAACAAAACTTAATCTGACCGCCAGGCTCTCCTAGTTTCCACGAGGTATTTGCGAATCGTCGTGATGGCCACACTCGTCGGGTGGGAGGTTCGGGCTATCCGTGAGCAAACGCCAATAAAATCCTCCATGAGAGGTGTTGCAAATGCGCCTGGGTTTATGGTCCACAGCTCCTCTGACTGAAGAAACAGGTGTAGGGAATAGAGCCAATGACATGCAAAATGCATCTTCGGCACAATGTTGTATAAGGTCCACCCCTCCTTGTGCCAGTGGAAAGCCAACGCCTTGTAGCTTCTGAGGAAAACACGCAGATACCCATAGCCCTTGCGTGCCTCATCCCTGGACCAAAAGACTCTGTCGCTTGAGCGATAGCAAAGCCTGCAAAAATCATCGAAACCACAACAGCCCATGTACGTCCACTGCAAAGGTTCCGTCCACTCAGGAGGCGTCGACGACAAAAAGTCGATCACCCGCTGAAACAGCATGTTGCAATCTGCAGCTTTGCACCCGATTTCGGGGAAGTTGCGGTTATACTTCCAAGCAAAGTTCTCCGGTGTGAACTCTTGCATGTCCCGAGGGAAGAGGTGTTTGGCTTCGCAAAACGCCAGGAAGTACGTATACGCATCATGCATGCGTTCCGCTTTGTTGTTTCCCCGGAAAAGATTCAAAGGACCACACATCATTGCAATGACTGAGGCAATATATGTCCGGCCACAGCCATGAGGCAGAACATGCATCAAATCAAACTGGATGAACCATGGGCGAGTTGCGCCAGGTATTCCTTGCAAAGGTGGCGGGCGGCTCCACGGCAGGCTTGTGTAAACTGTCCTGGTCCAAAGCGCATCTTCCACCTCCACATCTTCGAAAGGCATGTCTGTTGTATTGGCCAAGCACAATGGACATACAGCATTTCTGGTGTGGTGTCTGTTGCATCGAAAGGCCTTCGACTGGAAAATGTGATCTCCAGATAGCCCAATGCAAACAATGTAGAAGCGTGCAACATCAGTCACAACACCAGCAAGATAGCAACTGCGCATTGAACGCGCCACCTCCTCCAACAGCCGATCGATGACAGGATTGACAGCTGCCGTGCCTGTGTTGTACTTGCTGCACAGCTTGCTTGGACAAGTGGTAAGCAGAAAAAGACGGTTCAGCGCTTCCTTTCCCACCTCAAGCAATGGACCAAAGCTGATTTGCATGACCGGTCTACGGCGATGCCCCACACCTTCATCCCCGTGCAGAAGCACGGGGATGCATGTGCCCAAACTGCCACCGTGGTCCTGGAACACTGGGCACTGCGGGTCTACCGAACGATACTGCTCCCAAAATCTCTCGAACTTGGCACGCCAGCCCGCCTCATCTTGCAGCCTGTGACCAGCGAGCATTTTTGTCGCCCACCTGCCTCGCAGCAGGTAGGTGCAAAAGTCTCTCCAAGTGGCATCGTCAGGGCATCGACCGAAAGCAGCGTTCATCGTGGCCAGGGCAACGCGTTGGGCTTCCTTGCAGAATGGCTGGGCAGCAGAATGCTAAACACCAATGTATCAGGGTTTTGGGCAGCAAACAGTCTTAGCAAGTGTGTTATTCTGCCAAAGTTCTTCGCGTGAGCGAGCAGTCGGATACGGCGTAGAGCGAAGCAAAGTCGATGACGATGAAGAAGTACGCGGCATAGAGCGAGGCAAAGCCGAGGACCATGAAGATGTGTCCGGCACGGAGCGAGGCAAAGCCGAGGACCATGAAGACGTGCCGGCCACGGAGCGATTGCTTATACTAGAGGTTGCATGTTGGAAGGGTTATCTTTGCTTCAGGCATGGCGTAGTCCTCAACCCCAGAAATGGTTAAACCAAAAAAAGTGGTTTAACCAAATATATTTGGTTAAACCAAAAGCAGACCTAAAAAAGAACCCCGTTGGAGGGTTCAGGTAAGCCCTACACCCTGCATAAACCCTAAACCCCCAAACGTGCAGCACATTATTCCCCGATTCCCTCCTGACCCACAGTAAGTGTGCGGGCTAGCAACTTTGTTGGGCTTGAGGTTTAGGGCTTCGGGCTTAAGGGTTTAAGGCGCCCTCAGCACCTCAGGGGTTTAGGAGCAAAGAAAAACGCACCGATCCTAAGCCCTGAAGCCTAAACTTACTAAACCTTATCCCTAAACCCTAAACCCCAAACCGAATCATCATATTATACACAAAGGTTCCTCTTACATATATATATATAGGTGGTCCAAATAGGTGGCGTATGTCTGCCGACAACGCCCTGCATGGAACGCCCTGCATGGAACGCCGGAAAGCAGTGCTATTGCCTCTTCAGCTGTTAGTGACCAGGCATTTGGTCAGGCAGTAACTCTGATTCCAAACCTGGACATCTGAACCTGGGTCAAAGGCTTAACCACAAATACCACAATTTGGGCTTCGGGCTTCAAATCCTCCAACAACTCCCAACACTTTCAGCCGCTAACATTCCGGAATTCCGGACTGTGCCCCCAGAAGCCTCGCACACCTTGCTCCTAGACGCCGCTGTTCTCAGAAGCTGTCGGCTCCGCGTTCCTTGCACCTCTTGCCTTTGCACACCGCGCCTTTCCAACATGGGCTGTGGTGCCACGGCTATGGAACAATTGGGAGAAGACTCCTGTACAGAAAGCCTTTCCAGCCTTCTTGCCAACGAAGCTTGTCAACTTGCCTCAAGGAGAGGTACCCTTAGGCCTTTTGTTGGGGGGGGTTCCCTTATTATAAACTCCATGAACCAACAAGGTCTCGTGCGGAATAGTTTGCCTGGTGGTTTGGGTGTGCCAGGCTTCGTCGAAGCTGGAGAATCTGCAATTAGCGAGTGTGTAGGCTTCTGCTACGGTAGCGTCGTGCAAAACTGGTGTGTTTGGAGGCATCAGGGTTACGATGTTTTCGACATGTCACTAGCAAGAGAGCTTGGGACCCATCATGTTCGCATCCTCAGGCAGGTTGAACCTCCTTGTGCAAAGAGGTAAGACGCTGCAAATACCAGTGTTTTTGGGCAGGATGTTTGCAATGTATGTTGTGCAAGAGGAAAGAACGCTCTGAATAGCAGTGTTTTGGGCATGTGCGCAACGACATGAACGCTTGTGACCACGCGTCTTGTTCCAGAAACGTCAAACACCCATTTGCTTTAAACTGTGCGAAGAGGCAAGAACTGAGATATGGCTTATCATACCCTCCACCCAGCCCCCCCCAACCGCCTTGCAACCCCCCAACCCTCCCAAAAACCCAAGCCCACAACCCCAACCCCCCCAACCGAACTTCACCTAAAATAAGGCCATCTTCTCTCATCTACTTGCTATATCTACCAATCCATCTGTTTGTCGATCTGTCTGTATATGCAGCCAGCTACCATGGCCTGTTCATGTTTGCATTCTTGAAATTGTCGACTTGCTCTCTCTTTGCGCTGGGTGTTGGTTTCCAGCTCCAAGCTTAGGTGCCTCTGCCGAGAAGAAGCAGCCCGAGGTGCAGGTGCCGTCACAGGGGTGGGGGATCTTCGGCAAAGCTAAGGATTTAGGATGATTTAGGGCCTCCGGGTTCATAAGAGTCCGGAGGAGGGGAGGGCGTCTCACAGCTGGGGCCGATGCCTAAAAGCGGACATCATCGACATCAAAACTCCAGCCCTGTACAGCATCAAGTTGTCAACACACTCCCAATATATTCCAGTAGACAAGAAGCTCTGCATTCGATGCTTTGAACACCCAAACTGGAGCACCAAAGAGGCGCTTCTCATGAGATCCCCGCCCCAAGCTCTACACAATACGTTGAATCGCCACGGCCCCGTGTAATTGGCCATTGGTCAAGATGGGTCGCCCACATTCGCCCACACTGGGCAGGACTCCAAGCCAAGAATCCAGTTCTGCCTGAAACTTCGGAATTTCTTTCGTGGATTCCGGTGGTGTGTCTTTCGTGCAATCCATGTTGCGCCGCTGCAGGCCGAGCCTGCTGAGGAGGTCGCAGGGGGCCGGGCTTACGGGAAAGGGTTCAGCTTTCAGTTATTTCAAAGTGTGTTGCCGCAAGCTTGTGCATTGGCTATCTTTGGGCACTCCTGACCTAGCGATCGCAAACTCGCCTGCATCCCACTCCGCCCTGAGACTCCGAGTGTCGTCGTGACCCCGGCCGAGGCGCGAGACTGCGCGAGTTTGGAGTCAGGGTTTCAGGGAGCGTGGAGCGCTGGCCATTCCAACAGAGCACGATGCGCGCCACTCGTGCCACCCTTGATGCACCTTGCTTGAAGCGCAACTTCCGCACAGCGTGGTGACGATGTGCTTCACCTACACCCTGGCCCTATATAGAGCTCTGAGCTCAAAACTAGCAGGCCATTGCATGTAAGTGGCCGTCCAAGACGCAAGCCACAAGTCTTCTGAAGTAACCCGGCAGCTTAGGGATCCAAGGTTCCAAGCGCCTCCTGGCGGAAGATTCAGAACTCATCTTAGAATCTTCAAGACGCCTTGAGTCAAGGTTGCTGATGACCAAATGTCTCCCCCTGCCCGCGTTCTCCCTCCCACCCTCTTCCCCGAAAAGCGTTCAAGTCCGCCTGACTTGAGGACTCCACTGCCAAGCCAGCCGAGGCAAGGGTCAATTTTTTGGGGGCTGAGGCTTCGACCGGGTCATCTCTTGAAGGCCTCCAAAGTCTGCACATGACATGTGGCGTCCTATAGCCTGAAACCTGCCTATCTTCCAAGCTTGACCGTCTGTTACAATGCATTGCACCTACTCCACCCGGTCTTGTCTGTGGCCACTCAGGGACCCCAGCTATATGGCAGAAAGAGAGTGACACAGAGACACGGAGATACAAAGATGCAAAGATACAGAGACACTCAGACTCCGAGACATGGAGACACAGAGACAGAGGGACAGAGGGACAGAGAGACAGAGAGTGAAGTTAGACAATGCGTGTTTTTACCCAACCCCGCCCTGGAAGATGGAAACACAACGAACTAGAATTTGCTGCGCTATCCAGCTATCCCTACTAGGCAGATTTCCGTCGTCTCACGCCCGCCCTAAGAAAAGAAAAGAGAGATCGAGAGAGAGGGAGCCCGAAGGATTTGGCAAAGTGAACACGTGAACGAACAGGTTCTCGGAGGTTCTCGGGCTAGTCTGTCTAAACCTCTACACCCCACTTTCCCATTCGCTTCAGCAGCCGCAAGCAGGCTGCGAAGGAGGACGACGCTAAGACGATCGAAGCAGCCGAGGTGACACTCTACTTCCCCCCCACCCAATACTCAAACATTGGATCCATGAGATTATAACATACCAAAATGCCATAATAACGAGCTTCATAGCTGCCAAACCCTCTCCATGTTGCCAGGCATCCCCTTCAACTGCCGCGGCTGCCGAGGTTCCCGGCCTGGGTTTTCATGTCAGAGCTTGAGAGCTTGGGCTCCGAAACCCACACAAAGGCTCCCTGCAGGCCGCTGCTATGAGCCGAGAAAGCGTGTGCTTGGGGCAACAGGAGTGGGACTTGAAGGATGCCTATAGGGGGCCTTTTTGGGGTTTGAAAGCAGTTTTGTGACCAAAAAAACAAGCCTCGGAGGCCTCACCCGAAGCAGCTGCCGTTGCGGAGGAGGCAACCCATGCCGGTGAGCCATGCGGAGGCTTTGTTCTAATCCATGCACTTGTCCCGAGCCCGTGCGCCTCAAAACCCTGAGACGTGTGCTGAGCCCCGCACACCTTTTTGGAGTGACAATCCTTGAGATTCTAGATTGGCCGGAGACGGCTCTAGACTCTAGGGTTGGGATTCACCTGGACCCCGCATAGAGAAGCATTCGCGCATAAGGTACTGTAGGAATAGACTTCGAGGAAGCGAAGTTCTCAAATTTCTCAACCGATCTCACCTACGCAAAAGCAAAAAGACAAAGCACCCGAATCCCAAGCCTTCCTCTGGACGTGGTAAGCAGGTGCCAGTGATAACTGTCGAGACTCCGGCCGAGGCTTGTGATCATAGGTCAGGTTCGATTGCAGGAGGGGTTGGAGCCAAAACATACGAGGGCTCAATGATGTGCGAAGTATCAGAATGAACACGGGGGGGTGGTCGAGTTTATTTGAGAGTAAATTCTGAGCTTACCGCTGCTTCTTAAAGCAACCAGCTCGCATGGTCGCATGCCTCACCCCCTAAACATACATTTTGTCAGAGGCCAAAAGAGTGCATGAATGAAGCACCGAAACCGTGCGCAGCAGTGTAAGGCCTCATCACTCCTTGATACTTTTTGGCTTCAGTTCGCTGAACGCACCATACCGCCTAAGGGCGCTGATCTAAACTACTGACTCTGTTGGTGTTTATCATTCTTTATCGCAGTTCCAGGGCTTCCTTCCAACACCTCGAGATCAATGCCCCGTGGGTAAGACCCGAAACTTGCGAGAGCAGCCAGGCACCAGCTGAGTCTGCACCTGCCCCCGCCGTCGAGGCAACGCCCTTCTTTTTTCGCTCCGGATTTTGGGGTGTTGAACGTGCTCTCTTCTTCTTTTGGAAGCTAACGGTCTTTTATCAGAGGCAGGGCTCAGGGTTTGAGTTGACAAATAAATGTAAAATGCCAAAAATGGCTCCTTGCGCCTTGAGCCACCACCCAAATGTCACATTTGTAATCATTCGTACCCCGCTGTCCTGTCGCTTCGAGCGCCCGTATCAATGGACTCCTTCAGCAGCCACGGAAAAATCGCCTTCAAACCCTATCCAACGGCCCCTGCGGTTGAGCCTGCAATGTCCCGACTACGGGCGATTCTGGATCAG